GAGCCGGTGGCCGGTGTCCCGCTGCCAGCAAGCCGGGACGGAGGCCCGGCGGACCGGAGGCTGGTGCCCCCTCCCCCCACCCCTCACCCCCCGTCCGACCGGTGGCTCTTTGCGAATGTCCCATCTCGGCTGTGCCTCTAGCTTGGGAGGCGTTCCCCCCCCCCCCCCAAATCCTCTCGCCCCGGGCGGGGAAAGCCCCCCGCGCCCTGTGGACCCCAGGCCGGGCGAGGGGCAGCGATTGGGCCCAAGGGCCGTCGCATTCCGCGAGCCCGCCATCCCTCCTGGAGGACGGGCGCCGCTTGCCCCCGAGCAAACGGAGGGAGATGGCGCTCTGCCCGCCGAGGCAGGCGCTCAGCCCTGTCCCATCGCCGGGGCTGCCAACACAGCGCCTCCGGGGTGCCGGGAGGACCGCGGCGCCCGGGTTAAGGTTGCGGCGATATTGGGCGGCGCTGTATCATGTGCCGGAGGCATCACACCACCCAACATCACGGGCCGCCGCTGCCCATCCGGAGAATCCCGACGGACCGGTCCCTGTGGCTTCCTCATGAATGTGGGCGTGTTGGTGCGGCGGCACGCGCATGGATTGCCGTTAGTGTCGTTGTTGTTGTTGTTGTTGTTGTTGTTGTTGTTGTTGGTCTGCACGGGCCGGGGTCCTGAAGTTGTGTGTGTGTGTGCGCGCGCGAGCCCGGGCGTCCCTGTGACGGCGGTGGCTCCTGGCCGGCGGGGCACTTTGAAACGGGCGCCAGGGCCACCGATGCCCGGCCCCCGGCCTTCCCGGGAGAGCCAATTGCCCTGGCCCGAGAGGGGAGAGCGGGGGCGCCATGTGTGCCCCGCGTGCCGGGCGGCCGATGCCTTCCCCATTGAGTGGGGCTGGGCAGCGTGCGCCCTCCCGATCTGGGCAGGGCCGCCGCATGCCGGCAGCCCGGCAGGCAGCGTGGAGCGTGTGGAAAGAAAAATATGCCCCCGGCAGAGGGACCTGCCTTCCGAAAATGGCCCGCCCGCCCGGGCGCGCCTCGCCCGCGTGAGAATCGGCGTGTGTGTGTGTGTCAGCGTGCATTTTTTTGCCCGCAGCACAGCCACCCCGACCCGCCCCGGGCGACCCTTGCAAGGGTGATCACCACGTCGGCCTGGGCCGTGGATCTTGGCCGCGCATTTCGCCGGCCCTCTTTCGGGCCGGCCGGGAATGCGCCTCGCGGGAGAAAGGCCCCCGGGGGGTGACACGCGTACGTCCCCCGGCCGGATGAGCGCCCCCCGGCGCCAGCCTGGGCTCCGCTGGCCGGGGCGGAGGGGCGGCGGCCCGCGCGAGTGGCCCGTTCCCTGACGGGCGGCCGCCGGGCACACCGGCGGGGCGTGGTTTCGCCTCCGGGCGGGGCCCCAGGCCGGTGCGATTCTCCGCGGCACCCCCCCCCCCCCCCTCCCGCGCGCGCGCACTAGCGCCCCCGGTCTCAGTCAGCATCGCCCCGAGGGCGGGCCAATATAAGACGCCCCCCCTCCGGGGCCGGGCGAACGGTTGCTGCACATTACCGCTCCCCCCCCCCCCTGGACCTGGTCTCTGTTTGCCCTCTCCCCTTTGTCCCGGCCCCCGGCGTGTGTGTGTGTGCGTGTGTGTGTGTCTCCTCCTCCCCGCCCCTCGCGCCGTCGGTCCCTCCCCGTCGCGGCCCTCCACTGGGTAGCCCTCTGCGCCGCCTGGCCGCCAGCGCCCGCCACACGGCCACCATGTTCCGCCCGCAGGCCAGCCTGCTTGGGCTGTGGCTCAGCCTGGTGGCGTTGGTGGCGCTGACCCTGGCAGCGCCCCTGCCCTCTTCCCCCCGGCCTCGCGAGGGGACGGCCACCGCCACGGCCGCCCCGCCGGCCTACCACCTGACTCGGATCCTGCGCTCGACGCAAATCGAGCAGCCCACCTCCTCCGCCGGGCACCTGGTCTTCTGCGACTTCTTCAACCAGGATGCCCTGTCGCGCGGGGGCTCGGACGGGCTGGACGACCTGGCCACCACCGGGACCTTCTACTCGGTGGCCACCGAGGCGGTGGTCCCCTCGCGTGACATCCCCCCGGCCGACCGGCGCCCGGTCACCCTGCTGGAGGGCGGCCGCGGCCAGGTCCACTGCCTGACCGGGCGCAATCCCTTCCCCTCGATGGAGGACACCCCGCGGATGCTGGACTCCGTGCTGACCGGGGTCCATGCCGTCCGGGGGCTGTACTACTCCTCCGCCGAGCAGGACATCCTGGTGGCCGGGCGCGATGCCATCAAGTCCTACCAGATTTCGCTGCCCACCCCGCCGGTGGTGGTGTCCGGCCGGTACTTCGGCCGGTCGGTGTCCATGCTGCTGTATGCCAGCGACACCAGCCTCTCCCTGCGGCCGCTGGCCAGCAGCGAGGTTCCCCGCTGGTCCATCTCGCGCGAGTCCTTCAGCGACATTGCCGCCCTGGCGGCCACCGACCTGGACGACAACCAGGCCGTCGACGCGGTGGTGGCCGGGCGCGTGACTTCCACCCCGCACGAGCACTCGCTCCTGTGGGCGTGGGACCTGGGCGCCGACAATGCCGACCCGCTGATTTCCAAGCTGGCCGTCTTCTGGCACCTGGGCCCCGGGGTCCGGGCCGGGCAGCTGCTGGTCGGCGACTTCGATGGCGATGGCCGGGCCTCGGATGTGGTGGTGGTCAGCGGCCCCGGGTCGATGGCCTCCCCGCGGCTGGTGTACTTCCTTTCGTCCGGCGGCTTCCGCCACCCGGTGACCGTGGACCTGGCGGCCATGCTGCCCGCCGGGTCGGTGACCGATTGGACCACCGTGAGCCCGCGCGCGGCGGTCGTCCGTCTGACCGGCGGCGGCCCGGCGCACGATGTCGTGGTTGCCCTCGGCCCGCGGGTGTATGTTCTCCATGGGCCCCGGGCTCCCCCGGGGCCGGGGTCGCCCTCCGACGGGAGCAGCGGCGATTCCGCCGGCAGCGACACCACCGGCGATGGGCTGCTCCTCACGCTGGCCGATGTCCTGCACAGCCCCCTGGTGCCGGACCTCCCTGCCGGGCACTTCCTGGATGTGGCCTTCGGCGACTTCGACGGCGACAACCTGCCGGACCTGGCCCTGACGCGCTCCGACGCCCCGATGGATATCCTGCTCCTGACCCAGGTGGCAGCCACCCGGCGCCGGCTGTGTGGCCGCAAGTCCATGCCAATCATCCTGCCGGCCGGCAACTTCTGGAACGAGCTGGCCTGCCAGTGCGTTGATTTGAACGCCGACCCGGGGCATCCGTTTGCCCCTTGCGAGTTCTGCAAGCCGCGGTTCTTCCTGTCGCCCGGTGCGTGCGCCCTTCCGCCGGGTTTCCCCGCTCCCCCCCCCCCCCGGCCCCTCGGGGGACCCGACGGGCCGGGCTCTTGCCTGCTGCCTGTCCCAGTGCTTGATGTGTGTCCTACCCCTTGCCGCGCGTCTGCTCACCCCTCGTCCTTCCCTCTCCCCCTCCCCGGGTCCCGTGCCCCTGTCGCCGGTTGATCCGGCCCTCGACCTGGCCGCCTCCCCGCCACGCCCGACAGAGGGCACCTGCCAGCCCTGCCACGCGGATTGCGATCTCTGCGAGGGCCCTGGCCCGGGGGATTGTCGGACTTGCGCCGTCGCCGGGCACGCCCCCTCCAATGGCACGTGCGCCGCCCGGGCGCCAGTCCAAGTGGGCCTGACCGCGCAGCCGACCGCGCCCTTTGTGCAGGTGTCCCCGCCGGTGCCCTTCGACGGCGGCATCGATGACCTCTTCACGATGTCCCGCGACCAGGTCCTTTCGGTCAGCGCCTCGGCGGCCGAAATGGCCAAGGTCCGGGATGTGCGCCTGGCGGGCCTGGGCCCGGCCGGGGCCGAGCCCCGCCGCGCGGGGCAGCTGCTGGTCACCAGCCGCGGCACGAGCAAGTGGATCCTGGAGGTGCTGGAGCAGCCGGCCGGCGGCCAGATGCGCATCCAGACCACCTCCCTGCCGTTGGATGTCGACATCACGCTGGCCATGCGCCGGTTCCCGGCCGCCGAGGCCGGCGGCAACCCGACGCGCTTCGCCCACATGGGGTCCAGCCAGACCTTCATGTGCCCGGGCGGCCCGGCCGGCGACACGTGCGAGGAGTTCGCCACCAAGCACAGCCTCCCCTCGTCGGTGTATGCGACGCCCGGGCGGGTGCACCCCCCGGGCGCCACCGGCATCCTGCGCCCCGTGCTCCCGGTCAATGAGGCGGCCCTCGGCAAGCGCCGACTCTACACCTCGGCGGCCGGGCCGTCGCACAGCATCTGGCACCCGGTGGACAATGTCCACAATGTGGACCGGCTGCTGGTGCTGAGCGCCCCGCCCGCGAGCACCTACTGCTCCGTCAGCTACTCGGCGGCCCTGAGCCACGAGGTGAACTCGGCCTCGGCCCCGCCGCTGGCCATCATGCACCCGGAGGCCGATCAGTTCCCCTGCGGGCCGATGATTTCCCTGCCCGCGGGCCCGGGGGTCCGGCCCCCGGTGCTGGTGGTGTCCGACAGCAGCCACAACGCGCACCTGCTCTACCTGCTGCGCAACCCCACCCTCGAGGGGGAGGCCCCGCGCTTTGAGAAGGCCATCCCCCTGCTGGTGCCGGCGGATCTGGGCTACCTGCCGAATGCCCACCCCCGGCTGTCTTGGCACTTCCTCCAGCAAACCGCGCGGCCCAGCCGGGTGGAGCTCGTCCTGTGGGACGGCCTCGCGGCTTGGATCGTGACCGTTCACCACCCGGCCGGGCCGGAGGCCCCGCGCGTCGAGCTCGAGCCGCTGGTGGCCAGCCAGGCCCTCACCGCGCGCACCACCGACTCCCTGAGCATCGCCTCGCTGGAGGTGGCCCTGCGCCCGGGCCCCGAGGCGGCCTCCTCGCCGGGGGGGGCCACGCCCACCGAGCTGGTGCTGGTGCTGCGTGACCATTCGTCCAAGAAGCTGTACGTCTTCCGCCGGGCCACCAAGGCCTCCGGCTGCGGGTGCGGCGACCATGGGGTGTGCACCCCGCCGGCCGGCGGGTGGGGCTTTGCCCCCTGTGCGCCTGGCACCAATGGCTGCCTGCCGGTGGCCACCAGCCTTCGGCCGGAGGACTTCTGCACCTGCCGGCCCGAGGCCGCCACGGTGGATCCCCAGCACCCCTGCCGGGAGTGTGCCTCGGCACCGGGTGCCGGCGGCCTGCTGTCCCCCGGGGCGGATGGGCCCGCCGCGGTGGCTGCCACATGCTCCCTGTGCTCGGTTGCACAGTGTGCCCAGTGCACGGTCGCCGGCGGCTGCCTGGCCTGCCACACGGGCTGGCTCCTGGATCCGGCTGGCAATTGTGTCCAGCGGTGCGACTCCCCGACGGCCGTGGTGCAGGATGGCCGGTGCCGGTCGTCGGCCGACGGATCGCGCGACACCTGGCGGCCCTGGCCTCGGGTTGTGGCCGGCCCCGGGTGGGAGGGCTTCCAGGTGGAGGCCCTGCTGCCGGTGCGGCCGGCCCGGGCCCGGTACTCGTCCGGCCGCTTCGACACGCCCCTGGCCACGGTGCATGCCAGCCTGGTGGGGCGCTTTGCCGGGGCATCGGCCGCCACCACGCGCACCTTCGTCCCCGCCAGCCAGGAGCTGCCGCCGCTCGGCAAGCCGACCCTCGCCGAGCAGGTGAACCTCTCCCGGGCATTGGTGGACACCTGCAGCCCGAATGGCAAGAACCCCGGCCTCGAGCCGGACCTGCTGCCGTTGAATACGGTGGCGGATTTGCGCGGCCCCGCGGTGGGCCCCTGGTTTGGGGCGTTGTATGGGGACGCGCCGGCCGGGCCGGGCCCCGACGACCGGGCTGCCCAGGACCCGACCCGGGCCACCGGGCTGGGGCTGGTGCATGCGGCCGCCGTGTCGACCTGGCGCCTGACCACCGCCCCGCAGGCCAACCCCAGCAGCCTCTGCCATCCGGATGACACGGCCGTCGGGCCGACGCTCGTGAGCCTGGACCAGGCCCTGGCCTCGTCGAACCTCCTCCGGCCCAGCAGCAACACCGAGGGCTACATGCACCATGTGTTTGCCGAGTGCCGGGCCGTGGGGTTGCCCTTCGCCCCGGAGGAGGTGGCCCTGGTGGAGCCCGGCAGCCAGCCGCTGGATGGCCAGCACCCGCAGAATGTGGTCCTGGCCCGGCGCCTGGCCGCGCCGGATGGCTCTCGCCCGGCCCGGCTGCTGGTGGTCCTGCCCCAGTCGCTGGTCGGGCGTGGGACGTCCAAGGCCCCGCTCGGGGCATGCCGGCAGGATCTGCTGATCCAGCTGCCGGACGACCGGCCGCGCTACTCGGAGCTGACCGCCACCGGCGGGGTGGAGGGGTCCAGCTCCATTTCCTACCACATGGCCCTGACCATGCCGCAGGTGGCCGATGTCTTCCCCCAGGCCCCGGTGTCCGGGCCGGCGGTGCTGCTGTCCTACTTCGTGAACTTCCCCTCCAGCGACACGAACCTGCTGGGGCTGTTGGTCCAGCCGCCGGGTGATGTGCCCCTGCACCAGGCGCTGGTGTACCAGCAGTCCAGCGTGTCGCCGGTGATGCTGGTCCTGGCCCGGGCCGATGGCCAGGCCGCCGGGCTGGTCATGCAGGAGCTGGCCTGCCTGCAGCAGCAGTCGGTGACCAATGCCTGGGCCCTGGCCGGCCAGGCCGACGGCCCGCCCTTCTCCCAGCCCGGGTCCCTGACGGCGGGGGACTTCCTGCCGGGCAACCGCTCCGGGCGCCGGGACATGGGCTGTCCGTTGGTGGTGCTGGAGCATGAGCCCATTGCCTCGACCTCGGTCCTGCACCGGTTCGACATCGATGGCGATGGGCGCCTGGACATGGTCCTGGTGGATGAGGCCACCGGCCGGCTGGTGTTCTACCTGGCGGTCGGGTCGGCCGTGGCCGGCAGGTCCTTCCGCCGGTCGGAGGTGACCATTGCCGGCCTGGGTGCCCCCCTGGCGGCGGGGCTCCGCCGGCGCATGCTCCTGGCCGACCTGGATGGCGACCGGTTTGTGGAGGTGGTGCTCGTGGTGCAGGCGGACGGCTCGTCGGCCGGTGGCAGCGCCCTTGCCGGGGCGAGTGCCCTGCCGTCGCCCCTGGTGGAGGTCTACTCCACCGGCGGTAACGCCGACGCCCGGTGCCCGAGCCCGGCCACCTTCAATGAGAGCACCCTCGAGTGCCAGTGCCCGGCCGGGGGTCTGCGGGTCTTCGACCCGCAGGCCTGGGCGTGTGTCTGCCCGGAGGGCTTCATCCCGGAGGGTGATTCCTGCAAGCCGGGCTGCCCTCCGGGCCGGGTGGAGCTGCCGGCCGCCGCTGGCGCCGCCGCCGCCGCCGCCGCCGCCGAGCCCGGGGCCGTGTGCCTGGACGCCTGCCCGGATGGCTGGTTCGAGCCGGCCACCGGCAACATTTGCCAGGCATGCTCCGAGGCCTGCCCGACGTGCTACGGCCCGGGCCCGGACCAGTGTGGCTCTGGGCCGAGCGACTCCGGTCCCGGGTCCGGCTCGTCGTCCCTGCCCTTGAGTGGCAGCAATGGCAGTGGCAGCCATCCGCCGGCCAAGAAGAGCCACACCCTGGCCATTGCCCTGGGTGTGGCCATTCCGCTGGTGGTGCTGCTCATCATCGCCGGTGTGCTGCTCTTCCTGGCCATCACCAAGCGGGGCTTCTTCCGGGATGGCGGCGCGGCCGGCTCCAAGGTCGAGATGGGCGCCTTCTGATGCGGGGGCGGCCGCCCCCCTCCCGGGATGAAGTTTCCCCCCCTGTCGCTCTTTCCGCGCAGGCTATGGCTGGGTTGCCAGTGGGGCGCGCTCCCGCCGCCCGGGGTCGGGTTCCTGGCCCGGCGTGGCCTCTCGCAGGCCTGTGGCCATCCCCCTCCCCCCCCCCCCTCTCGGGCTCTTTGCCCCGGCCGTATGTGTGCATCCCCGTGTATTTTTTCTGTGCCACGGGGACATGTGTGTCCCCCCGGCACTCTCCAATACAGCATCCCCCGAGCACGCCCCTAGTTGCAGGCTGTTTTTTGTCCTTTGATCCGGGTGCTTGTTGCTGCTGCTTTTGCCGCTGGGGGTCCCGCATGCCAGACCGGGCGCCCCCCCCCCCCCCCTCGCCTGGCCCTTCCTGCTGCCGGTTAGCCGGGGGACCGGAAAAGCTGGCGGAGCACTGCCCAGACAGGGATGCGATGTGTCGTTTCCCCAGGAGGGCTTGGCACTTCATGCGCCCCTCGTCCGGGGCTTTCGCCAGTCGGGGATGTCCAGGAGGTAGCACTTTTGGTCATCATCCCAGGGGGACGCCCAGGCATGGGTGTGTGTGTCAGTGTGCATGTCAGTGTGTCAGTGTGCATGTCAGTGTGCATGTGTTGTGTGTCAGTGTGCATGTCAGTGTGTGAGTGCGCAATGCCTGTGCATGCGTGTCCCTGCATGCGTGTGTCTCTGCACGCCCCCCGGCCATGTGCCTGCCGAGTGAGGCCAGCCAGGGTGCCGGCCATCTTCACCAGGCCGGCGTGCCGTCGGTCGAGGCGCCCTGTGTGATGGGGACCCTTCGCACCGGCCCATTGCCCTCACCCGGCAGCGCCCTGGCCGGCCGGGTCCCTGGGCTGGCGGCCGGCTCGCCCGAGTCCTTGGCTGCCGGCGCATGCAGGCCGTACCGGGGGCGCTGTCCGCCGGCCGGCCGGCCCGGGGCACCGGCAGACCGCGGGCCAGTTCTTGTGAGTGCCGGTGGCCACCCGGCGGCCTCGCGCCAGGGCGCCCCCTCCGTCCCGCGGTGCGCCAGATGGTCCGTGCACTTGGGCCCCAACTGGCCGGACCTGCCGCTGCCAGGCAGCCCCGGGTCGTGGGCCGGGCCGGTGCCGGTGCGGTCCCCGGCACGGCTCCCCGGGAGCCTGGTCCTTGCGTCTCACCGCGTCCCGACCGTGTGGAGCCTGTGGCCGGAGGGCAGTCGGGTGCTTTCGCGCCACGAGCACCGGCGTGCGTCCCGGCGGGCGGGCCCGCCGCCAGGCCCCAGCAGGGCCGCATGCGCCGGACGCCGCCCGGGCCGGGTGGCTGCATTTTCGCCACCGGCCCTCGTCGAGGGGGGCCACTCATGCGCGCCAGCCCGAAAGCATCGCCGCCGGCCGGTGCATGCGCTCGTCGGCCCGCCGGCCGGTGGCCCAAGCCAAGTGCGACCGGCAGGCCGATCCCGGGCCGGCCCGAAGCATGCGAAGAACACCGCGCCCCCGGCCTTGCCTCGGGCTCGGGGGGGGGGGCCTGCGCCAGCGCGGTCCGCATAAAAAGCCCCTCTCCGATCCGGGACCCCAAGCGCCATCACCGTGTCCGAGTGGTTAAGGAGTCCGATTAGAAATCGGATGGGCTCTGCCCGCGTAGGTTCAAATCCTGCCGGTGATGCACCCTTTTTTGGCGGGGCCGGCCCCGCTAGGGCGCGCCTTTAAAGGGCCGCGGGCGGGCCCTGCCCCATATCCGGTGGATATCGTATAGTGGTTAGTATAAGTGGTTGTGGCCCACTCGGCCCCAGTTCGATTCTGGGTATCCACACTTGCTTTTTGCGCCCCGCGGGCGCTCGGCGCAAAAGCAAAAGAACGCAGCCCACTGTGGGGCTCGAACCCACGACCCTGGGATTAAGAGTCCCATGCTCTACCAACTGAGCTAAACAGGCTATGTTACCCCGGCACATCGGGACCGGCCTTAAATGCGCCGCCCATTTTTGCCGACGCACCGGCCCGGGCCGGTGTGTTCGCCAGCCCCCGGGTCCCAGCACGCGGGCGAACCGCGGCGCGTGTCTTGTCCACGCGTGCCCGCGCGGGGTTGCCCGGGGGGGGGGACCGGCCGTCTCGCGGCGCGCGTGGCCCTGTTCCCGGGCCGCGTTGCCGGCTAGGGAGGGCGCCCTGCTGAGGGGGGGGGGGGGGGGCTGGGCCGGGGCGTCTGCGCGGTCCCAGTGGCGCGGTCCGGTGTGCCGAGTCGGGGGCCCGTGTTGCTGCCCCCCCCCCCCCCTCCCAGTCAGCCCGGGCAGGGCCCGCCGGCCAGACCGCGGCCGAAGGAGAGCCCCGCCGCCTGGCCCTGTCCCGGGGTTCGCGTGGTCCGCGCCCCCGGGCCGGGGTGGCCTGGTGCGCGGTGCTTCGTACGCGCCGGCCCGCTGGCGCCGCGCGCTAGCTCGCACGGCCCCGGGGCCCCCGGGAGAGAGCCCCCGCGCGTGTGGGGGGGCCCGGTCCGGCCACATTTAGTCCGGTCGGTTATATTTAGTCCGGCCGTTGGGCCTCCGGCGGTGCAAGTATCGGTGTGGATTCGGGTGGCATTTGCGACGCGCGGCGGGCCCGGCCGCCGAAGAGTACTTAGCGCGGCGAGTCCCCTATCCCCTCATGTTCTCCCATATAGTCTAGGTGGTTAGGATACGTGGCTCTCACCCACGAGACCCGGGTTCGAGTCCCGGTATGGGAACTTCCTTTTTGGCCGGCCGGCCCTCCGCGGCGCCAACGCGCGCGCGCCTGTGCGCCTGCCAACAACAGGGGGGCGGGAGTATGGCGAGGGGGGGGCGCGCGCGGCTCCCCCCGGGCGCGCATGCCAGCGCGTGGGAGGCGCCGCACACAGCAATGCGCGGGCGGACCGCGCGCCCACGCCAGAGCCGGATGGGTCTTTTTTTTTTTTTTTCGGGCGGCGGCCCCCCTCCTGCCCCCGGGGCGAGCGGGGCCGCACGGCGCCGCGTTGGGGGGTGCGAGCGGGCAAGCTGAAACTCCCGGGAGAGCCGGGGCCCCCAGCCAACAATCCGGGGCCCGGGCGCCCCCCGCCGCACACCGGCGGGGAAGCTCGGGCATCCGCACATACGGAGATACGCACGCACAGGCGCATGGGTGTGCATGCGGAGCGGGCATTTCCTCGCGCCACCCGGGGGGCCGGTGGCGAGAGAGGGCCCCGGTCCGGGAAGGGCGCGTGGAGGCAAGCAACAAAAGGAAAGCCCCGCCCGGCGCGGGCACATTCCAACCGCCGGCGGCGATCGGCCGCCCGGCCAACGGGCGACCGGCCCGCAGGCAACGCCACACACGCGCTGCCCCGCCGGTGGGCGGCCGAGAAAACAATGCACCCACACAGCCTGGCGGCTGCACCGCCAACAGCCCCCCGCCCCGCTCCGCCCCGCCCCGCCCCGCCCCGCCTCCTGGCACCCCCTCCCTGCACCGCCCCCGACCCGGGGATCTTCCTGTCCCCTCTTCTCCCCTCCCGGCCTCGGCGCCCCGGCCCCGGTGGCCCGATCTCGGCCGCTGCCCATGGCCTTGGCACCCACGACCCGGGCGCGGGGCAGCCGGCCGGCACCGGGCCTCGCGCTGGCGGTGGCGGCCGCGGCCGCGCTGCTGCTCGTGCTGCGGCTGGCCGCCGGCGCGCCAGGACCGGCGCTCGGGCCGGCCCCGGCGCCGGCGCATGCGCCGGCCGGCAGCGCTCCCATGCCCCTGGCGTCGGGCTGCTCGGCCAACTGCGACGCCTGCACCGGGGCCCTGTGCACCAAGTGCAGCGACGGCTTCTTCCACCTGGTCGACGGCGTGACCAACTCCTGCGTGGACACCTGCCCCCCGGAGGAGCCCATCCTCCGGTTCGAAAACAACACGTACTCCTGCTGGCGCATGGAGATCGACGGGTGCGCCCTGCTGGTCGGCCAGCCCGGCGCTTGGGAGTGCTACTTCTGCATGCTGGGCCGCTTCAAACGCCCGGACAATGGGTGCGGCCACTGCCGGCCCGGGTGCGGCTTCTGCGGCGACACCACCGGCTGCCTGGCGTGCCTGCCCGGGCTCTTCATGCATGACACCCTGTGCAGGGCCGCCTGCCCGGCGGGGCTT